CACATAATAATAATAATAATAATAATAATAATAATAATAATAATAATAATAATAATAATAATAATAAGAATAATAATAATAATAATAATAATAATAATAATAATAATAATAATAATAATAATAATACAAAGAGCAATTCGTGAGTTTAGAAATGTTGTAGGAGCCATGTCAGTTCATAACTCTTTGTTGTCTCCACCACTAGCTAAAAGTAACAGTCGGTTAGAACTCTATGGGCATAACATATCCGATGAATTATCCCATTAGAGTTTCTAACTATGTTTCAGGGGGTGAGTGTAATTATCAATATTATAGGGACCTTAAAGTTATTTAAGCATACGTCAGGGGTGTGGGTGTTATTTACCCTTCTTTTAATTCAATAAATTATCTTTGTGCAAGTCTTCTTGTTTGTTTGAATTGCAGATAAGAATTTGTTGCTACATCGTGTCTCTACCGACACCAAGTACTTGAAGATAATATCTAGTATGTCGATAAGGAGCTAGAAAACCATCGCCATTAGTGTATCCGCTATCCACCAAATAGTAATTACGTGTAAAAGGTAAATCGATGGTGTCATTGTATCTTATTTTGTTTATTAAGATCATATCTATGTTTGAAGAAATGTATTTGATATAGAATGTGTACCATTTGGAACATGTAGACCATTCGGTCGGGTCATGGCATCTCTTTTAGGATTCTACTATCAGCGGCGGATCCTTCCGGATCGGTCAACAAATATACAAAATTCATGCTCACGTGACAAATGGCAAACACGTTCACCAACACTTGACCTTTCCTATTCCTATGGCTTGGTTTCTTGGTTAATGGAACCCGGACTTCAATGTAGGTATTGTCTAATGCACCTAAACAGTCCTAATGGATGAGATAAATGAAATGAAAACTCATTTGAGGACGGCGACTTATTGATGTCAAACACACTGGTGACTCAATAAATATTGTATTAAAGTCAATTATGTAAGGCATTTGTACCTGAAAGTATGTCCAACGCTCGTTCTCACAATCACCATCGGCTGGTACAAGATGAACAAGCATAAAATTGTGCAATTTGAGTACCGCATTAAGAACCCTAGAAAAATATTAGCTAATTGTCCAGCTTGGGCTTCTGTAAGTGGTTTGAACAATTACGTTCTTCTCGTGATGGGATAAGATATGCAAGAACATAGTAACCTGCTCGACGACATAAACATTTCTAGTTTGACTCAACCACCCCAAAATTTCTACAAGATAACACAACCGAGCAAATATGTTCGTGTTCATCCTCAAATTTGACGACAAATTGTGTCGTCAAACGCGACGATGTACGATAGTTTCCTAATTTGATATGAGATATTACTTTTCAAACTATAAGATGATTCTGAGGTACAACTTGTTGGGGATCTAGCACGTGTACGCAGCGGAAGGCAAAATTTTTATTTTATTTATATAAACTAATTTATATAATCAAGCACGTCCACAATAAATTAAAATTAATTACGTACCTTTTCGCTTCCAATCACCGACAAAAATGCTCGCATATATAATTAATTTAAATAACATAAATTAAATCATCATGGCATGCTCGCGAAATTAAAACAAATAATAAACATGCTCAACGAACGATTTACATAAACACATAATCGAACATATAGATTCATGTGATTCAGTAATCAATTAACATACATTAATCTCAATTAATATAAATTAATTAATACATGAATATTAATTAGGGAAAACGGTATGTTACCGTTGAAGTGTGAATCGAACGAAGACTCGAGAAGATGGCTAGCTGCTCTACCCACTCTTACTGATCCAACCCGTTTGCCGATCCGAAATTACAGCCTTGCTCCGAATTCAATATCTCTATGGTTATTTACTGGATGGAAAATTCCTTCTGGAAAATTATAGATTAACGAGTTGTGAAGCTTCTGCCAAAATGACACGTCCATCCGATCGCCGGTGATTTATGGTGAATTGTCTCTTCGGACTGCGCAGAAAATCCGAAAGCAGTTTTCATAATTGCCTTCTCGCGTCACCGGCTTGTGGCGGCGCGTGGAGGCGCGTGGGGACGACCCTGGTGGCGGCGTTGGCGGCATAACAATATTCCTCCTATTAGGTTCACCTCGTATA